CATTTGATTTGAAGTTTATAGAGTTTGGCTTTAGGTTTAGGTTCACATTTTCCAATTTGATTTAACACATCGCAGCCTTACTTTGTCGGATCAATCTCCTTTCTACCTTCTTTCCCACTTTTGATGTCCAATCGATATTCGATATCTATATTATAATTCTATAATTATTTGAAGCTATATTACATAAGATTCATACTTCCCTACTTTTATGATTCGATTGTATTATAAGTTGTTAGTATTTTTTTTTAGAGAGAAGTCTTGAAAATATTTTTAAATTTAAGTGTAAATTATTAATTTTATTTTTGAACTATTGAAAGCCTTAAAAGCGTCCTTCTATTTGACTAACTAAGTTTAAATACACTCTTGATATGCCACAAACGTGACATAGCAAGTGATCTGAGACTCTTGTAGGAGAGTAAGACTCTTCATAAAAAACGAGAAATGTATTGAAAACATTCATAAACTTGTCGAGCATTTATGGGTGTATTTTACTAATGTTGCAATATTAGGTATTTAAGTTCAGTTAGTCAGTAAATGGGTGCTTTTGAGGCTATCAACAATTCGAAGAGGAAACAAATAATTCACGCCAAGTTTAAGAGTTTTCTCAATATTTCTCTTTTTTCTATTATCGTACTATTTTATATTTCTCATATTATTACTTAATATTTATTGATATGACACATCGCTTGAAAAGGCTTTAAGTAGATGTGTGTTTTAGTATATTAACCCTATTAATAATGTTTTGTAACTCTAGATTTGACTTATAATTCTATTGTTTTAAAGAGGAATAGTTGTTGTTGTTTTATTTTTTAATTATTTTCACTATTGTATTTCATTTTTTATTGGTTTTGATATGATCTATTTGAGCTGATAATCTATCAAAAAAAAAAAAAATTATCCTCACAAAATAAAAATAACGTTGCATACTCACCTAGCATCCTCGGAATCTATTTGTTGTTGTTTTATTTCTTAATTATTTTCACTATTGTATTTCATTTTTTATTGGTTTTGATATGATCTATTTGAGCTGATAATCTATCAAAAATAATTTTTTTCTATCCTCACAAAATAAAAATAACGTTGCATACTCACTAGCATCTTCATAATCCACTCTAGATATATGTTGTTATTGTTATGAGTTTGAAACTCTGGGTGCACCAATATTAAGCAAAAAAAGAGAGGTTCTAGTTAGGATAGAACCCAGGTCATGTGGGTGGATGTATTAACATGTACCGGCAATCCAAAGCACCCATTAATTGATTGCATGATGGCACTGTTAATTATATTTAGTTTTTTTGTTAGTTTTTCAAGATAGATATACAATATATCCATGATTTTTATCGAAGTTAATGGATGCACGTGCACCCCTAAATACACATGTGGATCCACCTCTCTCTCTCTATATATTATAATTAGCCAATGTAATTATTTTTGACAAGCATATAACTTTCCCTCACTTATGTTATACACGTCTTATAATTTGAATTTTGAGCCTACCAAGTTTGACTAGGCCTTTATTTGTGGCCCAACAGAAATAACGGCCCTGTTTTCTTGACCCATATTTTCAAAAATATAGTTCACATAACCAAAATTAGAAAAGGTACATATTTGATCGAGCGATTAAAAATAATAATAATAATAATTAGATGATGATACAGTATAAAAATCTCTAATCAAATTTAAGGTGTGAACAAATGAATTATATTTAAAAAATTCTTAAGAGAAGTATGTTTAAAGTGTGAGAACAATTAAATCTCTGATCTTTTGTGTCATATATTTAGCTATTAGTATATCATATGTTTTGAACTGAATATTTAAATGATATATCATTTGTTTCATTTTATGTGAACGTATTTAATTAAATATATAATTATAATTAAATAAAATGATTAACATGTAAGTTAAATATATTCGAAGGATAAAAAAAATATCTTAATCATCAGTCATCACTAATTAAATTAGTGGTGGTGAGGATTTTATATATCTTTTCATATATTGTTTTGCTTTCGTAATCGATGTAATTGGTTTTGGATTTTGCCATAATTTTAACTATGTTCATGTGTTGAATTTGGATTATTTCCCTAATTTGAGTTATATATATCATGTTGATTGATTGTTTTAGTTATGGTTGGAAATCTTAGATCATGACATATTTACTATCAAAGCATAAGTTTAAGGTCCTACAAGTCATTACGAGGAGTGATAGTAGAGTCATGTTTATAGATATTTTGACATATATATATTAATTATATGTAGCAAGAGGCTATAATAACATTTTTTAAAAAAAAACATCTTATTATACTCTTATATCAAACGTCAAAGCTTAGATGAGGACACACTCATCAAATTCAAGCAAGAGAGTATGTGTTTGATGTGAGCGAGATAGAAGTAAGACTAAAAGAGAATATGTTAAATAATTAAATAATAATATATTATCAACTTTTTTGTATATTTACAAATATCGATGACCCCTCAAAAAATGAAAATTTTAATTTTCACGTGAATTGCATGTCATGTATATCAATCAAAAGAAGATATAACAATTATTATACAAATTTAAGATTAATATCTTAATTACTATTTAGACAGACAAATTATTACTCGTTAACAAAAAAAGTTAAGACAAGATCATTACATCAATGCATCAAATCAATTTTTGCCTTTCAAGATGCCTAATGAAATTTACAATCCTAATTCATTAATATCTTGAAATATAAAATTCACTATATCCATAATAAGCCGTTAATTAACGACTACACGTGCACTCCGTTCTGTATATATAAATTAAAATTGTCCAAAGGGGTATAAATGAATATTTGAAGAAACTTTAGATGGGGAAAAAGGACCAAAAACAGATGTATAAACAGTATAATAATAGTATATTACTTTTTGGAAACAATATTTAAATAATTGAAGGGACAGAATGTATGTAGTAAGTACAAAATAAGTAACATATAATACATTAAATAAACGTTTAAAATGAGAAACTAGATCTCTTAAATTATACTGGTTAGCCAGTAACTGAAAACAGTATCAGCACTTCACAAATTGAAAAAAAAGTCTCAACTGTATACACTGTACCCATTAGAGTGGTCGAATTGATTTGATCAATTGATCTATATATCAAATAAAAAAATATCAAGTTTGAAATTCTATTTTTGCTTATTCAATTGAAGTCGTTGCATAAATTTTATCTGATGTGATTTATCTTTTAATAATTGTGTGTGTATCTCAACTTCTAATCAGAGATCTCAATTTCGAGCTCTATATATAGAAAAATCCTTAGTAGAAAGAGATAGTCCAAAATGACTTTTATATCGCGCGAATTTATATTAATCGATCTGTAATATAAATATGAGACGCATCCAGTGAATTACTTTTAAAAAAAAAGAGTGAAGGACCGAAAATAGACTTGACTATTCGAAAAAGATTAAATATACTGATCCCTCATTCATTTATTTGACTAAAAAATATCCTTTAAGTCCACCTTCTTTTTAATCCAATTTTACCCTTCAAACTAACTTTTTTTTTTCTTCTATTATTATTATTATGATGATGATGATTTATTGTGTGGCCTCTTTTTATTGGTTGAAATTAAATCTCTAATGCATCAAAAAAAAATCTACCCATCTTGATTCATATATGAGATAACTTCTTTCATTACTAAGATATAGGGGGTGGATTAAATAATCTCAAAACTTTCGAATACTTTCAACTAAACATTGAATAAAATAATCATGCATTTTCTCTCTGAGATAATTATAATACCTTATACATTATACCAAACAATTTCTAAAACTTTAGAGTCCAAAAGCTAAACGTAATAATGAATTGGGAAGAGGGACTAACAAGGAGTTTGATAGTCTCTGATAGGATGATGCCATGTAATAAATAAAAATAATAATAATATTAATAATGATAAGAGAAAAAAAAAACTATTAGTTTTAAGGATAAAAATAGATCAAAAAAGTTAAATGAGGGTTAATTTTTAGTCAAATACTTCTTCTGTTCCTATTTACTTGTCAATTTTTGACTAGACATACTTATTAAGAAAATAATAATTGATATAGTAAGTTTACCATTTTATCCTTATTAACCGATAGAATCCTAAAATCAATTTACTGAATAAAGATGTTCTACCTTTTACAAAAAAATAAATCGAGGATATAATAAGTAAAACAAAACTCCCTCTGTCCTAATTTATGTGATACTTTTCATTTTTCGAGAGTCAAACAATTTATATTTGTAAACTATGTAAAAGGAACTATAAGTCACAATAATTGATAATTTAAAATGTTAAAAAGATCTATGAAAAACTTACGATTAAAGATAAACTTGTTTGAATCTCAAAATCTGAAAAATACCTCATAAAATAAGACGGAGATATTTTTTTTTCTTGATTTGTCAAAAAAAGGCAAGTAAGAAATCAAAATTAGACAAGTAAAAACGGACAGAATGAGTAAATGAACAAGCCATTTTTTAAAGGAAAAAAGGACAAATACATCCCCGAACTATCGTAAATGGTATGCAGATACCCTTCGTCATACTTTTGGGACATTGGTGCCCTTGTCGTCCAAAAATTAGAGCATATATACCTTTTATACTAACGGACATACACGTGTCATAATCTTATCCATCGATTAAATATCGAATCGACGGATAAGATTGCGTCATGTGTCCCTATTTAGTCTTCCGTTAGAGTGAAGGGCATAAATGCTCTAGTTTTTAGATGGCAAGGGCATCAATATCCCAATAATATGACGGAGGGTATCTGCATACCATTTACGATATTTCGAGGGTATATTTGTCCTTTTATAGGTCAAGAATTTGTGGCCCTTTTTTCCCATGGTAAAATAATACTTTGAACATGGGGCCTATAAATACTCTCTATTTCTCTTCTCATCATAAAGGCATTTAAAAAAAAAAAACTTTGCTTTTGTTCTGTTCTCTTTCATTCTCCCAAAATTCTTCTTTGCTTAACATTCCTTTTAGTCTAATCAATCATTATTCACATATATACATAATATATATAAATAATATACATCTAGAAAAAAAGACAAAAAATGGAAGAAGAAAAAAGATCAAAGTTTAAGAGGATTTGTGTTTTTTGTGGAAGTAGTTCTGGGAAAAAACCTACTTATCAAGAAGCTGCTACTGAATTAGGAAAACAACTGGTAAACAAAAAAAATCCATTTTTTTTTCATTTTCTCTTATTGTTGTTATTATTATTCATTTTCTGGTTTCAAGAATCAGAAACTTTTGTGCTTTTTTAGTTTTTATGGATAAAAATCTGTTCTTTGTTGTAATGTAAGTTGAAAAATGGTTGAAATTAGGAACCCCATTTTGAGTTATTGAGTTTTTGTTCATTCTTTGGTTTTCAAGAATTATAAAGTTTTGTGCTTTTTATTGATAAAAATCTGTTCTTTTTAGTAATGTAAGCTGGAAAATGGTTGAAATTAGGAACCCCATTTTGAGTTTTTGAGTTTTTGTTCATTCTCTGATTTTCTAGAATCATAAAGTTTTGTGATTTTTATGGATAAAAAATTGTTCTTTTTAGGAATGTAAGCTGATAAATGGTTGAAATTAGGAACCCCATTTTGAGTTTTTGTTCTTTCTCTGATTTTCTAGAATCATAAAGTTTTGTGCTATTTATGGATAAAAATCTGTTCTTTTTAGTAATGTAAGCTGAAAAATGGTTGAAATCAAGAATCCCATTTTGAGTGTCTGTTTATTTTGTGTTCCATTTTAAATGATTCCAACATGTTTTATTGTTGTTGTCATTTTCAAGAAGCAGAAAGTTTTGTGCTTTTCTTGAAAAAGGTCTGTTCTTTTTGGATACTATCATCTAATCATCAAATGTAAGTTGAAAATTGGTTGAAATCAAGAAACCCCATTTGGTGTTTTTGAGTTTCCAACATGGGGTTTTTCTTTTCTCACATATCTTTCTTAAAAAACAGAACTTTTTAATGTAGGGTTTATCTTTTGTTTGGCATGACAGAGAGATAAAAAATGGTGTTGCTAGCTGTTACATGTCTGTCAGTTGAGCAGCCTTCCTGCATGATCTTAGTTTATGGGGTCACTATAAAAAAAAATTGCCTTATAATTAGGAGCCAAACATGCCACTTTGATATCATGACCCCCTTCTCTTTAAGGTCTAAAATTTACCCAAACTCCTTTAGATGTTCTTTTTATGTTTTTGATGTAAAAGTATGCATGTGGGATTTAAACAAATACTAGTAGTGTAATATTTTTGTGCATATGTTGAGCTAATCTTGATTTTCATGCTTGTTTTCTTGATGTGTGTGTGTGAATTTTGAGTTAGTATAGTAAATTTTTCCCTTTGCACTTTTTGTTCTGTTTGAAATCTGTCTGCACATACTCTATCCTCTTCAGACTCCACTCTGCACGACTACTTTGGTGTATTGTTGTTTAGGGTAAAGATTCCTTTTTTTGCTTGTGCTCTACTCTCTTCGGACTCCACTCCGTTCGAATACATTGGTATATTGTATTTTATGGTTAAAATAAATTTGTAGTGATGATGATGGGGTTGTGAAATGGTGAAATGGGTTGTTGACACGTGTAATGTTTCTTGATGTTATTGGTTTTGTGTTGAAGGTGGAGAAAGGGATTGATTTGGTGTATGGAGGAGGAAGTGTGGGTCTAATGGGACTTGTTTCTCAGGCTGTTCATGATGGTGGGCGCCATGTTCTTGGGTAATTAATCCCCTATCCTCTTTTCTATACATAGTATATACATACAATATACTATATATACACACTCTCTCTCTATATATATGTATATCACTTTCTCTCACTATAACACAAACATAGATAAGACACACTTACATAGGAAAAAGGTTTTGATGTTGAAGTCTTCAAAGACAACCATCATTTAAGCCTCATAATTTTGGTCTATCTTTGATTCTAGCTAGCGCGGGATGCCTCGTGTACCAGACTAACCCCTTTTTTTTGTTCAAGCTAATGGGGTTGGTGAAAAATAACATGTCTTCCACTTGCTTTATCTCTTCTTTCTTTTCCGTTATATATGTGATATAGTTTGGATGGACACAGAATTTAAGAAAAAGACCAAGACTTTTAATGGAACAATGAAGTATAATAAGATCGTGTTATTCTTTTCGAAACAGACTAACAAAGAAATAGTGTTAAACAAGATGGAACAAAGGCAATGATATTTATTTAATGTTTTAGACTATAGACCATGTAAGGGCAGACATCATTGGATCAAATGTTGGTTTTGTTGATAATTAATGTTTGGTGTTGTCATCTATTGAAGAAACAAAAACTAATCCTTTTGTTACACTTGTAGTGAACAGCTTCTTAACATGTGAAAACTGAAAAAGTACTCTGTAAATCTTTTATAGTAACAAGAAATCCTCTAAAAGTGTCTTTTGTGGTATGACCTTAATCCATTTTGGTTTGTGGAATGTCTGTCACAAAGGCAAAAGGAAGTGTATAAAGTTAGAAGCCTTTTTAGGCACTGATTGATGTCACACTCCAACGTTAGATCATCATCAGACACGAATCTGTCGACATTTTTGAAAAGTTCAAGCAACGTAAATATGTGCCAAATAATAGTTTTCTTGGTGACTTTGTGCCTCATTACTTAACCCCACAGTCATGTTGATGTCACATGTCCAATGTTGGATCATCATCTGATCTGTTGGCATTTTTTAGAAGTTCGAGCAACATTGTCCCATAGTAAATATGTACCAAATAATTGTTTTCTTGTTAACTTTGTGCCTCATTTCTTATCCCCACATTTATGTTCCTTGAATATCCAAAAATATACTACTTTTAGGTAATCTGACATGCATTTGTCAACACTTTTTGAAAAGTTTGAGCAACCATGTCGCACAACAAGCACAACAAACAATAGTTTTCTTGATTTTTGCCTCATTTATGATGCTCGGATTTTTCAAAAAAGATGTCACCCCATGTTGAATCATCCGAACATGTTCTAATTTTGGAAGATCTTATCTAACATTTTTGCGAAGTTTGAGCAACATTGTCCCACATGAGTAAATATGTGCAAACCTTTCTTTTTGGGCGAGTTAACTATCTATCTATCTATATATATATATATATTTATGCTTTTACTTTTGGGATATTCTTATAATGTTATTAATCTATATTTATATTTTCTTTTTTTTTTGGAACTTGCAGAGTAATTCCTAGGACTCTCATGCCTAGAGAGGTAATAATACTTAATACTAAACTTGAAAATCATAGTGTAAATTTCATTTCTTTTTAATGTTTTGCTAATTTGATACTTATGATACATGTTGTCAAAACTTTTTAGTCTGGACAATGTTGTTCCTTGTATACTTAAAACTATAATGTTCAGACTCTAAAAATATTGTTGCACCTGTGTCGGATTTTTCATTGCTAATAGATAACGGGCGAAACAATCGGAGAAGTGAGAGCAGTGTCTGGAATGCATCAAAGAAAGGCTGAAATGGCAAGACAAGCTGATGCCTTCATTGCCCTTCCTGGTATAATATTTTGCTCGAACTCTTCAAAAATTTCACATGGTCGATATGTATCGGATCCATTGCACGTTAACGTTTACTTTTTTCGAAATTTTTTCAGGTGGTTATGGTACACTCGAAGAACTTCTTGAAGTCATTACATGGGCTCAACTTGGAATCCACCGTAAACCTGTGAGAAATCTGTCCTTTAGATTATATATTACTCTTAAGAAATTTACTTGGCCATAAAAAGTGTTATGTAATGTGCAAATCGAAGCATTTTGCCATCAGAGTTGGATTCAGGATTTTAATTCTCGTTTTGAGTTTAGGAAATAACCTATCTACCTACTACCTTTACGAAGTAACAATAAGGTTGCGTACACACTAGATATCCCCTCGTCAGACCTCACTAATGAGACTATACTGACATAGTTGAGTAATACTAAGTGTCATGCTTACGTTATAACGCGAAAAAAAACATGCTTAGGTAAGCGTATGACAAAATTAACAATAGAATGATGGATATTTTAAGGTAAAGTTTTACAAATAGATATCAAAAGGTAATCAAGAAATTTGGTGAAAACTTGTTTTCTTAAGTTGGTCATAGCATGAAAATTTAACCCTTTTTGACTAAAATTATTCTCCATGTAATCATTCTCCAAAGAGAAAAAAAAGTAACATTTTTCTCAACAAAAAAAGTGTCTTAGTGTCATTTTCATCTATCTTCTCTAAGCTATATTAATATTTGTTGTTGATACGGTTCTGTTCCTCTCATTTCGATATTTCTTTTCAAATTCTATATTTAAGACGAGAGTCTTTCAGAAACATTCTTTCTATCTCTACTAAATAGGAGTAAAATTGCGTAACAACCACCGACTTAAGACTCTATTTGTGTGAATATATTGAATATGTCGTTGTTGTGGTGCTTATATACAAACTTTCAAGATTTCACCTCCTATGCCTTGTTGTTAATTCAACTTGAGAATTGAAAAATATGGATCTTGACATTTTGTGTCACCATGTTTCTCAACTTACCATCTTTGCACATTCTTAAGTACTTTATAATAAAAAATAAATATGTTATTATCATTATTCTTTGCGAGATTTTTTTTTTCTTTTCAAAGTCAACAATACTTAAATCAAATTAAAAAGGAGATTAAGAAAGTATCAAATCACGTGTTCCTTATAATTTGGTTCACATGGAAAGATAATACTTGTGTCATTTGAGTTCTAATCTCTATTAATCGTTAATCATGCTTTATTGAACAACCATTACAAGAAAAAAAAAATCTTGGTCAAATGAAAGCTATTTTTTTGGCTTTGATAAAATATAAATACAATCTACGTACTATTCTAGAAAATATAGCTTATTAGATTCTAGATATATAATCGCCTATCTAAAAATATTTTTGATCGAACAGTCAAAAGAAATATTATAGTGTTATAATCGGAGGTTTAGCTCAATCAACAAAAGTTTTGAAATCACATCACTACTAAGAAAAAATGTATTCATCGTCAAATAGGATTAATATTAACAACAAATTTTATTGTTTATCTACAAAATCTATTCGTCGTTCAACTTTCTTTTTTGAAGTAGTGCTTGTATCTAGCTTCATAAGTTTAAGTTCTATATCAAAATTTTAATTTTTTGAGCTTTGACTTATATTAATTGAGTTCTGTCAAACTCGTAACGCAGGTGGGGCTATTGAATGTGGAGGGATACTACAATTCTTTATTGAGTTTTCTTGATAAGGCAGTGGATGAAGGCTTTATTTCACCAATTGCTCGTAAAATTATTGTGTCTGCTCAAACTGCCCAACAATTAGTCAAACAACTTGAGGTAATTTAATTTAATTAATTAATTAAACACTATGATCTATTAATATTTATATATAAATATATTAAGTGTCATATATTTTTATTAGAAATCATTAAAATTTTAGTTTTTAACTTATCAATTGTTAGATGATATATAGCTATATAAATATTTCAGAACTATTTATTAATTCGTTCTGATGTTTTTTCTAATTTTAACCTATGATCGACTTTTATTTTTTAAGGAAGAATATTTAAATTATTATTTGTTTTAATTTTTTTTAATTAATTCACAGGAACATATTCCAGAGACTGATGAAATCACATCAAATTTGATATGGGATGAAGGAATTCAAAGATTTAATTACACAACTACTGAATCTGAAGTTTCTACTTAATTATTAAGTTATGTTTTTATTTTGGAACTTTGGTATATAAATATATTATATTATATAAGTATATATAGTGATGTTGCTAAGGGTTTTTGTTGGAAGAAAAATGTTTTTTTTTTGTGGGGGTTGATGGCTCAAAATTGCAACATACATATTTTGGAAGAAAAAAAAAGGGAAATATGAAGGAAATATATGTTTAATTTTTCTTATTTTTTGTAGATTTTGTAATAGGGTTTAGTTTATGCTTTTGTGTATGTTTATTAGTAGTGTGTGTCCCTTTATGGAGAGGCAATTTATTTGCCTTGAATGTATCATGGCAACATGATTTTCTATTTATATAAATATATATATAGAATAAGAAAATACATCTGTGTTTTTTTTTGTTATTTTTTTACTCCGCGTTTGATATTCGTATTGAAATATAATGAAATGTAGATTCAAATTCACTTTAAAGAATAAAATGCTTTGTAGTAAAGGCGACTTTTATTTATGGAGATTTAAACTCGGAGATATTCTGATTAAGATTGAATGAAGTAATTACTTATTATTTCACTATAACTCTCGATGGTGCATAACTATGTAATCATATGTTTCACAAATGTAGGGTGTGTGATCAATTTTTGGAATAAAGCAATATCAACGGTTAACTATGAATTCTTGTTTTGATTTCTTACTTGGCGTTCGATATCGGTGTCAGTGGTGAATCTAGGATTTTCACCAAGGAGTTCAAAGTTTGAAGAAATAGACACGCTTACTAGTCGAAAGGTTTCAACATTTACTATCTATATACATAAAAATATATTTTAACCATATATAAATAGGAGTATAATTTTTCTTCGAAGTCAGGTTTGGATGACCCACTCAATCATAACGTGGCTCCGTCCATGCAAGTGTTGTGGTCATGATGAAATCAGGATTTACGTAAAAAAATCTCACATTGAACAGTAATATGCTTCTTAGCAAAGACGATTCCATTATGTCGAGATTTTATGTTAAGATTGAATGAGTACTTACTGTTCCACCCGAACTCTCGTTCTAGCGAAAATATGTAATCATTGTCATTTTAAACGAATAAAGTAATATCAACCGTTAAATCTGTTGAAATTATCAAACTTATTGGGCCGAGGACCCGTTAATTATGAGATGATGGGCCCATATATTGGGCTTTAGATAGTGACCGTTTAACTGCCAGTCCAACGGATAGAAAGGTGGGCCGGGCCCATTACACTCGTCTTGTGCTAATCAAGATTGTAATATTCAATTATTGTACTATATTGCTAATGATTAATGATTAATAATTTATGCTATAGTACTTTGTTTGTCTTATTATTAAGATCATTATTATTAATTAAAAATATCAATATTAGTTGTTTACTTATTTCTTTACACGTCTCTTAAGAAATCATTAATAAGAGGCATAGTTTTACTGATTTACTCCTTATAAAGTTTTTTTAAAATCTTATAAATTTTCTTACATTTTTTTTAAAAAAAGTAATTAATTATAAAGGTAATATGAGAAAATTTTAATTAATTTATCTTAATTTTATAAATTGACAAATAATTTAGGATAACTGCTTATAATAATGTGAACATCTAATATGAAACAACGGAGTGTTCTTTTGCAAAAATAGAAGATGTTCCATAAATAAAATTTAGAGCGAAAGCATTTGAATAATAGTTATTGACAAACCTAAAAGATCGTTAATATATTTGACCTTAAACGAAAACCAAAAAAGCTTGAAGGAATAAGAACTAAATAGTGATCAATATTTTTTTTTATAAAAAAAATCATTATACAATCATTATCTTTTCTTAAAAGAAACATATATGATCCATCTTTTAAAATATAAATATAAATGTAGGCATTATTTGGATTCTTGATTCCATTCTTATCAAAGAACAAGAACTTATGAAGGACCTCGCAATATTATATTCTTTGTTGGGGATTTGGAGGCACAATTCAACACTAATTGATTATTCTTCTATAGCTAAATTATTATATTCCATGTTATATATATATATATATATGTTACATTATTTGTTTTCATCTTTTAATTTTTATTTTTTGCTTAAAGAAACTTTTGGAGAAAGTTTCTAAGCTTTTGATAAGGGTTATTGATATTTATATCAATCGATCATTGACGAAAAGTTATTATATATTTTAGTGTTCGTTGAACCATTTCATCGATTAACTGCTCTTTTTAATTAAGAACATTTCTCTTTACCAAAAAAAATGTTGAAAGGGATATTAGCCCTTCGATAAATAAGGGTATTGACCAACATGGTACGCAAGATTTGAAATTCTTCTTTCTCAGAGTCATATGTTTTGTATTCACATGACTAATATACATAATGTTGAGACAAATCTAATTTTTAATATATTTTTAAACTTAGTTTTGTCATGGGTTTAGAATTATTGGTAGGTGTTGGTCCCTAAAATTGTCTCCATTTTACTCTACATTTAAAATTGATCCATAAATAAGTTCCAAAATATTATAAGTGTATGTAAGTGGAAGCAAACAATTTTGTCTCTTTTTCCTTGAGCAAATCTGCAAAAACTAATATTTTTATTAAATATTAATAATGAAATTGTTATTGTTCTCATCATATTTTAGATGCTTTATCAACCGTTTCATAATCAATCATATTAATATATTATATAAAGTATCTTATATGCATTAACCATATAAGATATATATAATATACTATCGATATATTTTAACTTTTGATTACATGTGAGTTTTTATTTTTAATAGGTTATCAATTAATTTGGAATTTTAGTTTAAAATCTTTTAGTAGTTACTTGTAATGATTTGATTATTAAATAAATAAATATCTTTTAATCCCTAACCTTTACTATATGATGATTAATTATTTAAGCATCTTGGATGAATGGAATTAGACAATTGGTCAACATAATAATGACCACAATGGGTGGGTATATACATGTGAGCTACATTAATATATCTATTGGATATTTTGTTATCAACACTAAGATCCTCAAAGTAGGCAACACAATTTTTTCCCCTCACCTGGTGTCCGATATTAATATTAATATTTTAATTAATTCGAACTTAGCAACAATAAAAAATGGAACGGGAGAACCCGTACAGATTACTTTTCACTTCTTTTTTTTTGCATTTGAAGAAATAAGTTCGCATAAAATTCATATATTCGAACCAAAATATGCTTTTGAAATTTATTACGGGTTTTATTCTACCCATTTTAAAAAGAAAATAATGTTAAATTGATCTTACACAATAATTAATATTTAATATATAAATAGAATATCTAAGATTACCAGTAATATATTTGGAGATTTTGACCAAATGTTTTGATAATTTACTACACTACATGACAAAAAAAATATTGTCATCACTAAAAGATTTCTCTTCTTTACATAAAAATAGCAACTTAATTATTAAATAATTTTCAAAAACTTACATAAATCTCACTACTTTAGGAGTTAATTACTTAGATACACTCTAGTTTGCAATATTACGAATCTTATCAGATTTGAGTGCGTTCGAATATGTCTAGATACATGTATCTCGGAATACATGAGTCAAAATTAGATGTAATTTATTCTAGATACATTATATCTAAGTAGATACGCATGGATCCACGATACATAAGAAATATCGCTGCCCTCCCTCATCCCCCCCGCCTCCTCTCTCCCCATCTCGTTTGCCACTCTCTTATGTATTTGGGATACATGACTATCTCACTCGTCTCTCACCCTATTTTAGTTTTAGTGTATTTGGTGACAAAAATACATGTATCTAGGTGTATCATCCTCATTATATGATAGAAAACTCTTAATTAATGGTAAGATACGTAATTATTTAAAAGTATAGATAGAATCGGTATATATGAATGTATGGCTAAGCCATCTAAATGATTTTGTTTGGGCCGCAGTTCACCATTTCAGCCCAACTAAATTGGGCCAATTATTAAGTGGGGTTCTCTTCAAAAATTAGTTATATTATCTTGGCCCAACCATAATACACCAAACCACCGTAGCGCCGTCGACCGCCACCTTCCTCGACCGTGAACCGCCGTGTTCATCTTTAAAGTCGCAGAACTCTCGATAATCTCAGCCAAAATCCAAAACCCAGTTCGGAAAACCAAATTTGAAGTGTCCAAATGTTGAAAACTATCACTCTTTTGCGTTCATCACTGAGCTTGCGAGCAGCTTATTCACTGCATATCTCACCGGAAAACGCCTATGTTTCTTCAAAGGGTAAATCTTTTTACCATTCTGAATCGACCCTTTTAAGCTCTTCTACTTTTTTGAACAAAAATCATGATGAATTTTCAGCTGATGTAGAGAAAGTTTATAGAATTTTAAGAAAATTTCACTCTAGGGTTCCTAAACTTGAGCTTGCTTTGTTAGAATCTGGTGTTGTAGCTCGTTCAGGGTTAACTGAACGTGTGTTGAATCGTTGTGGTGATGCTGGGAATTTAGGGTATAGATTTTTTGTATGGGTGTCAAAGCAACCTGGTTATAGGCATAGTCATGATGCTTATAAAGCAATGATAAAGATTTTAGGGAAAATGAGACAGTTTGGTACTGTATGGGCACTTGTTGAAGAGATGAGGATAGAGAATCCTCAGTTTTTGACACCAGAAGTGTTTATTGTGTTGATGAGGAGATTCGCGTCGGGGAGGATGGTAAAGAAAGCAATTGAAGTATTGGATGAGATGCCTAAATATGGTGTTGAGCCAGATGAGTATGTTTTTGGGTGTTTGTTGGATGCTTTGTGTAAAAATGGTAGTGTGAAAGAGGCAGCTGCATTGTTTGATGAAATGAGGTTTAGGTTTAGCCCTACGATTAAGCATTTTACGTCGTTGTTATATGGTTGGTGTAAAGAAGGTAAGCTTATAGAGGCGAAAGTTGTGTTGGTGAAAATGAGGGAGGCGGGTTTTGAGCCTGACATTGTGGTTTATAACAATTTGCTTAATGGTTATGCGGTGTCTAGGAAAATGGCTGATGCATTTGATCTGTTGCAGGAGATGAGAAGAAAAGGTTGCAATCCTAATGAAACTTCGTTTACGATAGTAATTCAGGCACTTTGTTTGCAGGACAAGATGGAGGAAGCTATGCGGGTATTCTTGGATATGGAGAGAAGTGGATGTGAAGGTGATGTCGTAACATATACTACTTTGATAAGTGGATTTTGTAAGTGGGGAAAGATTGAAAAGGGTTATGAACTTGTGGATACTATGCTGCAGAAAGGGTATAACCCGAATCAGACTACTTATTTACATATAATGTTGGCTC